AAATGAAAATGCAGCGGTTCATTTCGTTTATCGTTCACAACTCCAGAATGTGCATGAATGTGTGATAGTTAACAAACAGGGGGGTTGGGGGGGTGGTGATTACGAATGACCGCGATGCGAGGCCAAAATAAGTCGAGCTCAATTTTGAGAACGATGCGACTGGAGTTGGAGTTGGAGGCGCGCCCTGGGTCATTTTATATGCATTTTAATTAATGCCACGGTCCAAAGCAGAGAGTAACAACATTGCGACCACTGCGGCTACCAGGCCCAGACCACTTTATACGTGGTGTGGCCTCTCCCTTGCGAAATCGCCTAAATTTTCACGTGCATTTCATATACCCAGCCCTTTAGAATCTGCATACCACGTAAAATTCGTTACGAGTTGATAGATTTTTTTGTATTGTTTTTGTTAAAGAGAAAACAAGTCAGCGGAGGGTGACCAATCCACTTTGAGCCCAGTGGCAGGTATTTGGAGTATCATATAATTAGAAATTATTTTGTTGTTTTTAATTAGGTCGTCAAATGCGGGTTATAAATTAATTAAAAATTTTATATGTTTTCGGCGGTTATGAGTAGAATATTTATTTAGATGAGATCAATTTTGGGTTATTTTTTTCATATTATTATTTCTAAATAATATTTCGAAAATAGAATAGTAATTCATGATTTAATGAATCTTAATGTAATTTTACAAAATAATCTAGCAATAATTCACAACTGGACTTTTTCCGGTAGGTCAACTGAAATAATTTCGCAGATTACGACAACGAGAGGCACAAATGAGTTTCTAGTGAATAGTTTATGCCTAAAAATTAGCACAGTTCGGAAATATGCGGCATTATTGACAGGATGATTGAAATAATCGCGAGAAAGCGAGCGATTACTGGTGAAACCCGGAAGGATAATGACGAACAGGTGACACGGAAATGCGATATATCTCTGGAGCCAATCGTGGTCTTCGTTGAATATTCAAATGCTCTTGTTGGTGGACATTTGCATAACTATGTCTCGTGTCACCACGAGTCATGCTGTCATTCACTAGGATAGTTTCGGTGATCCGTGCTCCTGGTCTTTGTGGTTTGAGGGATAATCTCGAGGATATCTATCTCACTCAACTGTCCAATCGACTTTCCTCAAGGGCCCCCAGACCTAAACTGATAAAAAAAAATAATTTTCCAGCAAAAACCCCTCATGCATCAATTTATGATTAAATGTATTATTATATTTCATTATTAAATACATTAACAGTATTAGAAACTGTCATTTAAAAAGTTTGAGAGAAAGCGGTATTCCTCGATCTCAAATTCTATAACAGGAACTAATTCGATATTGCTTTCAACAGGGTTGATCCGTCTGTCAAGTTCCCAAATTTCCGCTGCCTCAGAAGTGCGAGCCGTCAGGTATACGGGGACTTCCCAAGATATAACTAATCTAGTTACCGGCAGTTGGTGATGTCCTATCACGAAATCCATATCGATAATTCCCTTTGTTCATTGCTGTGCAATGACGTCTACAGGCTTTCAGCCAAACCCAATACCTGAGATAGAATCGAGACGGGTAAATTCATGCACTATACCACTAGAGGAAGACGATAGCACGAATAGCGTCGACTCCAGGAATTCACGGATGGATTGAATTCGGGTATTTACCGAATTTCCGGTTATTTGTTCACCTCCGATGAAGAGTACGTTACACAATCGCGTCTTATCAGAAGCCGAGCTTTGATGAGTTTACGTAATCTGTCATTTTCAACTGAGAATAACACGTGACGATGACGTGTTTGCTGGATTAACTGATAATTCAGTCTCCAGGAATACATTTAACAGGTGGAAAATATGGGACGGCGCAAGGGCGAGCGCACGGGGTTTTATGGCCCTCGTAAAAATGTAACGCAGAAAGTTCCTCGTTTTTATCCCGCGTACGGGAGGAATATGTATAATAGTAAAATTCGAGGATTATGAGGATTCCATGTGGATGAGATGATTTGAAAATAGAATATTTAATTAAAGTCCCAGTCTCCAGTTGTAATTCACATCAGATTGGAAGTTTTCTGTACTCATGTCGCAAGTACGAATAATACGGGGTAAAAATAAAAGTTGTACAACTTCTTCATCCGAATACAGATGCATAAATAGTACTAGCATGCAAAGTGGTTAGTGTTATCTCTTTCAGAGTCGCTGACTCATCTTAGTTTTTCCCTCATCCGTGTGCATTCTCGTTGAGAACTTCTCTCGTGTTATTTATCTTCCTGAAATTCCGGTAAGACGAGGAGAATGCTGTTTACTGAACCTCAACTTTCTCGCCAAATTTAATATACTCACTATCAAATTGGTCGGACTACCCCTACGGTGCCTTTTACATTATATATTCTGAATACATAATGATAAATTGACAATGGCGGGCTCGTGAAATAGTCATTTGTGGTTTTAGTTGAAAATTGTCTCGTGGAGCGGGAGGAGTGGAAAATTGTGGAAAATTTGCAAAAATTTCGAGGTGAATATTTGGCGAAAATAAATATTCTTTCATGTTGTCTCGGGGTTGAGTTGCATCCCTTGAAAATCTAGGGTTAATAAAGACGTAAGTCTCGCACTAGTTCAGGAAAAGTAGCGAGAGCAGGTGGGGCGAGTGGGGTTGAGGGATCGTTAGCTTCCGCTCGAGCCATTCACCACCACGAAATAGTTTACTCCCTGTATTAGAGGTATGTGTATTTGGTGTCACGGGTCGTACATCTCTTCCATTTTCAAGGCGCGAGAATGCGGGGGAGTGGGTGAAAGATGTTATGCAGTGGAGAAAGAACGAGGTTGATGGTAACGGGGAAATTGTTAATTGTCACGAGAAGTTTTACTTGTTTTGGTAACAACTTCAGAATTTGGGTAATATCATGCGCTTGGAGTTTGTGGTTTGAGTAAACTCCGTGTTTGCGGAGTAATTCCTCTATGCAATATGCAACGCGAGGTACTGAGATCGAATTTCAATCCTTACAATTATTAATTCGTAAATATTCATTGCGGTAACAATTTTTCATGAATTTTTTTTCATGATTCGCAGGATGTGAAGATATGTTTGGAATTATTCTGAAAGCCTTCAGCTTCCACAAGGTCACAAGATAATTTATTATTAAAGAATCCGTTTGTCGTACGTATCCCTGGTATTGATGTTGAGACTATGAAATAGATTCTCGCCAAATATTTGATTATCACACCGAGGCATGAGAATTGCGGAATATTCCATGGCCAATCAAATGAGAAAAAATGACAGGTGATCAATTAAATAGTCATAGCTGAATAAATTTACAGCGGCAAATGTTAATTCCTATCATGGCCTCGCACTTCTCTTGTATGAGCATCTGCTAAAATTCATATCAGTTTAAAAAGACAATTGGTTATGAAAAATTCAGCGAATCTTATGATTTTTACAACTCGCGTGGAAGTATTTGTTTCAAAGACAGGATTAATATCTCTTGAGTTGATTCGACCATAAATTTGTAATCGCCTCGATGGTTCTTGGAGTATCCAGCGAAACCAAAAGATTTAATGCACTTGACATTTCGAAATTGGATTATTCCAGTATTTTAACTATTTCATGAATGATAATAAAATATTAATCATCTGTTCACGACATATTAGCTACCGGAAAATGGTCAAATGTTGGTATTATGTTTTAACCCTTAAAATCCGTGTCCTATCGCGACGCTAATTCAATTGTTAACGCAGCAACTGTACCATTCGAATAATGTAGAATTTAACCATCTGTTTGGGTTTTATGATAACCGCAAAATTATTTATGTACCACTGAGCCGCTCGTTGCTGGAATTGTTTGTCCAAGCGATAATTATTCAAGCCCCTCCCCGGACTCGTACGAATTCAGATAATTAATTGAGATGATTGAATATTGCGCGAAAGGTTATTAATTCAAATTTACGAATTATCGGGCGATTTAAATCGACAAATTCGACGGATGAAAACAGCGAGGATGTCAATGCTGGGGAGCTCTCGTCGGTGATATTCATTGGAGTGACACAACAGCAACGGGTGATTATGAGATCAGGCGATATGGAGTTGTCCGGGATATTATGGAAATTAATAACTCAGTGCAGTTGATGCATATGACCGAGACGAGATTAGAGAAGGGGTTGAGGGTGAAAATGGACTCCACCGCCCAGCGATTCATCATAATATCGTCGCCTTAGTAAAAGTCATTTTTTTCTCCTTTTTTTTCAACGCCAAACGGAACGGCCTTTTCTACCTCCACCAATTTTTTTTAGAGCGAAAATTTTTCACTGTGCGAAAGAGACGTAACTCCAAATTTTGCGCTTTTATTTATTGATTACCATGAATTGAGTGAGACGAGTAGAAAATTGATTAGCTCATCTCAAATAGAACGGATATTCGGATCAAGTAGTTTTCTCATTTTGGAGTTACGTAACGTCAATGATCCACGTAACGAGAGCTTAATTCAACCGGTGATGTTCAAGTCGAATTCGCTGGTTGTTAGATCAACGCAGGTTGCTCAAACAAATGGATAATTCCGGAGCTCGTGGGAATTACAGACGAAGCATCGAAATTGGATCTAATATTTCAATATTAATTATTTTAAACATCGTAAAATTGGTGATGGAAATAATTTCAAGGTTACAATCTATTCTTTTTAGGTGAATACATTTTCGTTTAAAAATAATTTCTTCATCATCGCTGAACGCGCAACATTACTTTACACTTGTGCTTACATCGTTGATATTTAAATAGATGCCACATATTTCGATCTTTACCGCTAGTAGATAGCAATCGTATTTTCCACGTGAACAAACTGAATAGAAAAAACAGAAGCGATGAAGTCATAAAACATTCTTAGGTATGAATTATTGACTGTTGATATGTCAATATTTGGACAACCTGCACAACGACTGGAGAGTCGAATCAGGATTCGCTTAATTTATGATACTCGCAATCATATATAAAGTTCGTACGCGTGTTTATCGCAATACTGCTCTATTTTCCACCATGAAATTGTCATTTGTGGTTTTAGCTGTTGCTCTCTGCAGCATACAGCCTTCTCATGGACTTCAGCCTGTACTCATCCAATGTGAGTAACATAATTACAATAAATACCTAATTTTGCCGAATTCTTGCTAATCTCGTGCACCGATGCTCGTGCTCCATTTTTACCATTTAAAATTTTAATTCTCAACATTAACCATAAATTAATTATCCTACTAAATGAGAATCATCGATCAATGCTGATTTCAAAATCACTCCAAGTTATTACCGGTTGTACCATTAATTAAGCACTTCATTACGTGCATTGACAATTATTTTTAGGTCAGCAATTGGCGAAACTTCTGGAAATGCTGCCACTGCTTTCGGTCCGCGTCAACAGCACGGAAATGATGATCAATACGATAGAAAATCATGAAACTGCATTGGGTAAAATGACGCATTGGTTGAATTCAATCATGACAGAAATCACAGCGATACAAGATGACACAAATATCCGTGCCACCTTTGATATAATTGAGGATCTCCAGTTTCCCGACCCCGACGGAAAATTCGCTCGCTGGAGATCAGAAGTGGAGAAATTAATGGATACCATTAATTCCATTTTTCACGATCTCCGCAGGATCACCCAGACAAGTGAAACTATTGTCCATGATTGGAAGAATATTTCTAAGACTGCGAAAGAGTCCATTGATCTTCAGGGATTGCATACAAAGCTATTTCCACGTGGAGAACGTCCTAGCCAACGAGGAGGGTATATTTTCCATCTTGCCTATTTCAGTAATGTGAGTATTAATACGTTTTTGTATAAAAAATTATTCGGTGACTCGTTGGTGTTTTTGCTGTTGTTCGATGACTATTTTTACGAGCTTTCATCGTTTGTAGACGTCGCGACGCAAAAATTGCCCTCAAGCTTCAATGATGCGTTATTTCCTCGGTCATTTATTCGAAGCGATTTGCGTCACTGAAATAAAAGGTGTGACCGCATTGATTTATACCGCATTGATTCAAAACTGCCGATACGACGGTAAGTTATTAAGATGGACGTCTGATTTTTTAATGTAGCCATCAATAGAGAAGTTGATTTTTTTTTAATTTGTTTTAATTGTGTAAAAATTCTTTCTGCATCATTTAAAATTATCATGCTTCAATTTGAAACAGCGTGGAGAGTCCAGGTCGCTGAGGTAAACAGCAATTACAAAGAACGCTTCCTCGATTACTTGCTTCAAACTAAAAATGCGATGCATATGGCTCCAGCTGATCTTACAACTTGTGAGCCATCTGATGGCATCAGAGTTCGAGGTAATAATATTAATAAATAAATATCGTTACCCCTTTCCACGAATCTGTACTTTTCCCAGATGAAACGTACTTCGAAGCGGAGAAGCTCGAGCAAGTATCGATTTTCCGATTTGATCTCAAAGACAATGGGTGTGAAAATGTTATAAATAAAAAATTATTCACATTCACCTCGGAGCGAGATAATTGCAGTGGTCAATTATCTGACTGCAAGTACTCGAAGTGGTTAAGCGTTTGTCGATTGGTGAGTGATTTATCGGATATCGTGTTATTTATCCGGAGAACATTGTCGTCAATTATTATTGATCATTTTGAATAATTATCGTGAACGCAGGATAATGGTTCAAATCGATATCAATGGATCAAATCAGAAGTCGGCAACTATGGAATGAAGTTGAAGAATTGTCCCAATGGTACGATAAGTGAATATAAAGGTGTGGACAATTTGTCCTACGGCCACTGCATCTGCAATTGCAGAGGTCACATGCGTCATTGGATAAGTGTAACTCCGGTGCTAGCTAATACTTCTGATAATATGTAAGTTCATGATTTATCATTATCAATCGATCTCTACGTTGATTTTCACTTTGCCATTCAAGGGTTGTCACTGGTGCGCGATTTGTTTGGAAGGACAGAATTCTCTATATTCAATTGAAACAGGGAAGGCTAGTGAAGAATGCCTGGGTAGATCCATCTTCTCAAAGTTGGATTCCTCTTCCAAATAATCCAGAAGTAATGGAGATCACACCGGCGAACACCAAGTTCTATCTTGATGTTATACGAGTACCGGTCGATCAGGTCGTTGTTGGTAAGCGATTTTCATCCTTCGAGAAATGGCTAGCCTTTGATTCTCTAAAATGATTATTTCTCTGCGCTAGGAGTTACATTTGAAAATAATAAGGGATGCTCAATTGTGGTGAGTGCAAAGAGATTCAACTACACAACCGGAGAAATGTACGACGATATTATGGACAGAGATGCCGATCATTCGGAATAGTAAGAAAAAAAAAAATTAATTAACTCATTTCTGTTCCTCGAATAATTGGACTAAAAAAATTATTGGTCCTGCAAAATCTGTAACTGATTGTCCATGGAATCTCTATTATTTTTTATGAATTATTTTCCAAGATTACATTTTATATTTCAGTGATGAGCTGCAAGTTCCGCGGAGAAATTCGATCTACACGTCTAAACGGCATACTAGCCTCACAGGTAAGAAGTGGGTAACACTAGCACATTCTGATTGGCGGCATGATGTAGGTCAATCGGTGGTGCCATTGTTCGATGGAATAGCCATTGAAACGAATCCACCACTACCGCTTGGAGGATTTGGAATTATCCACAAAGGCACGAAAGGATATGCCGGATACATCTCCCCGAAATTAACTTCATACCCATACTCAAAAATATTAAAAATGTTTATCCAGAATCAGATTAACGGGTCCCCCTTGGAGAGGTGGATCCATTTTTGAATGAAATATCATTCGTTACAATCAATTGGGCAGTATTTTCTTAATAAAATGAATTACAACCACTTCTCATTTGTCTGAACGCTCTGAACTCCACCAAGTTAGTGCTGTTCATCTCTCAGTATATGCACAACTCCTATCCACATCTCCCTCATCAACATCAACCTCTCGTCTTTATTAGCCTTCAGGAACACGTCAGAGTTGGGTGTTCGTCAGAAAGTTGCTCTCGAATTGAAGTCACTTACGTCTTTTCTCCCAAGTTCGGTACACCCTCTTCCCTGTTCTCCTGTTTTATTCTCCCTTGAAAAACTTGATACGGTTGTCAAAGTTCAAGTACAACTTTTCACGTTTCGCACAAAATTCTTCTCCCTCAATTTTTCTCTTGGAATTACACAACCTCAACAACCACTCACAAACTACTATTACGTCACACAAAATTTTCGACAATATATTACATCGCGTACCCGAAAGTAAGATAATTTGTTGGCGACGCACCATTATTCATGATAACCGTGTCAATTAACTATTTTTTTTTGTCTATCAAATTTTTGCGTCGGCACCAGTGAAAATGGGATAACAAAAATAGATATATATATTTTAACATTCCGCCCCATCAATGAAATATCACCTCAATAAATCACCTTGACGAAGAGAAGTTTTCATTGATAGCAAGATCAAACACCATTCAGACGGGTGTACACACGGTGAACTATCAGTGCCCCTGATCTTGATGGATCTGGTGTTTGTATCAAACGAGACGCCGACGTTGAAGGGTATTGAAGGAAATATGTGAAAGAAAAATAATGTGAAGCATTATCATCATTTTAAATTGGTCGTACCTAGTGGGTTCTATGAATTCGCTATCACGAGCTTTTATTCTCGTTTGATCTCCTGGGGCCAGTGGTTCTCGTAATGGCACGTGACCCTCTAAAACTCGAAGAATAAAGCCGACACTTCAGGGTGAAGCATGTGTTGTATGCACCACTGTCGAGGGTAATCTAGACGTCCATTGAACGTTTATCAGGAGTGGCGATCGGGGGCGTTTGTTGTCTCTTTGACGAGGTCCAACCAGGTCAGCTGTACCAGCAGTGTCAACATGGATATGAGAGTTTCGTGGATAATGAGTAGACCAGTACTCCCACCATTCCTGAGCTTCAACCATTCCTGTACTTTTCATTAAGAGTGTAAGGGATAATTCCTCGGCTGACCAAACCCAACCCCCATGTCCCTGGGTGTGACAACACCCTTCGTCCGCTCATTCTTTCTTCCAAAAAGAAGAGCTTTCAAAAATAATTCAGATTGGTGTAAAGAACGTAAAGTTTCGGCTTTATGTACTTCATTTAAATCCCCACCAGGCTTTTATCTCTTCTATGAAAGCTCCCTTGTCTGAAATACGTTATATTACCCGGAAAAGGATTTGCTTTGATCATTTCACGGAGTAAATTAAATTTTGAATAAAAGAGAATTTTATTTATGAAAGAATAATTTTTACTCAACTTCAATTTTCAATTCAATAAAATCCTTCACTCTGCCCAATTACCCAGCGAATGTCATTTAATCAGATGAATAAAATAGTGCATTATAAATTGACATTGAATTAATTGTCTCGTTGGATTTCGTTTGGATTTTCCACTCGATCCACTATTTGCCAGAATATATTTAAGCAACATATTTTCATGTCGGATAACTCACTCAACTCATTCTATACCTCATTTTCTCTCGTCTCTCTTCACTCAACCCCCTGGCCTTTATCTCCAGCATTTCTTTCCGTACATTTTTCCTCGTTTAAAAGATACGAGACTAGAATTTTAATGAGACACTTGAGCACAGCCAGAGCGGCAAATAGGTTTGCTCATATTCTTCCTATTCCAATTCCACTTGTACAATAGCATCAATTTTTCATTGGTAACACGAATGCTCTCTAGGTTGATTCGATGAAGAAAAAAAAAACTAGTGCCGGTTGCTATTTCAATGTGCAATTTAACCGGGGTAATGAGATTTCTATTCCCATTGCAAATACGATGCTATGAGCCTCCAGTCTATTCGGAAGAAGTTAATCATGTACTTGCGCTGATTGCGGGGTACTTGGATATGATGATGATTCAGACATACGAGGACAATCGTTGCCACTGGTTTTGGAGTACAACGGTGGCATTATTTCAACTTTGGACGATGAGAAACGACGGGAGAATGGAGTTGGGGTGTCTGCCGGTGAAGATGTTTGCCGTGTTTAGAGAAGTTTGCTCATTTCGTGAATAGATCGAACGAGCCTCAGTCCTCGAGTATATATGGTGGAAACATTTGGACTAACGAAGACGTTGACATCGCATGCAATTTCTATCCAGACTCCCACGGTCTATCACCTCGGGTAACCGCAGTAGTACAATTGCAACTTGAATTACGGCTTTCAGATGTTGGGTACCTTCAAACTCACTGACAGATGAGTCTGACAATTTAAAGAGTGCAGGAGAAATTCCGCGGAAAACTCACACTGTTCAATACTCTTCCCTCGATATTTTCGGTTACCCTGAGAGTTCGAATGCAAATGGTTGTCGTTGTTAAAAAAATTCAAGTGCAATATTTCAATTTTCAATTTTTCATTTTGATTTAAAAAACGAAAGACCAGTCTGTCATCTGTCATCGAATGAAGATAGTAAAAAATTGTAAAAAAAAACTCCGTTGAGGAGTGGAATAGTCTCCTCGATCAAGATGCACTCGGAGATATGTGCCGAGTAAACAGAGGGAGTGGAGTTTGCATTGCTGAGAAAAAGCGACCAAGTCTTTTCTCATCAGCCTGAGAGTAGGCCGGAAATGGAGTTGTTGGATAAAAAAAGGGGCTGGTGGGTGGTAAAAGCCCGGGGAGAAGGTAAAAGCGTCCAGTTGAGAGTACACCGGAGAGCCTTCCTAAGACGTTCAGTGAAATGAGAGAAATGGTGGGGCACAACGAAGAGACGCCTTTGCAGATGGAATAAAGATGAGACTACGATGTTGGACAAACATGAGAATGTCTCTGACTGTTTGCCGCTCGTCCACTCGCCTCCAACAGTTTCCTACCGAGTTTGTATGACTCTGCGGACGTTTCCAGTGGGAATTTATCTGGCCACAGACAGGGGACATGATATCGCACGCTGTGTTAACAAGTCATTAAAGTTTAACTGTGTTTTCCCAGTCGTCATCATGTGCCAGTCTAGCGCATTCATCCAGACTGTGCACACAGTTTTCGCAATGTTTCTGTCATCTTGGGGTGATATCAATTTTCTGAGGGGTAAGAGGTCCGAGGGCCAGATTTAACCATGAAATTTCGAGCTAATTGGACAATTTTATCCGATGGGTTTCCCCGTGTCCAGTGGCACTTCCTCAATCCAATGGTAAAAAAAATTTATTACAATTTAGTCAATATCTTCTCCATGCTGACCAATGCCTCCGGCAAGTGTTTTCAATAGTTTTATCCGGAAAAATAAGAAAAACCGGAGGAGTTATATATTTCTCCTCGAGATACGAAGCTGAGAGGAGGATGTACGTGGCTCTTGGTTCCTGAAGAAGCTTAAAAAAAAACAAAAATTGTACACCGGATGAGCAGGAAGGAGTGAGATACAGCTTGGCCCCGGGGAAACGAGCTGGTTTTGGTCTTAAACGCGATTTTACCAAAGTAGCTAGAGGAAAAAACAACAGAAAGCCAGAGTGTACGTTTTAGGGAGCGTATTAAAGTTGAAGTAAGACAGAGTGTACGCTCCGTGGTAGAAGGAGATAAAGAAAGTTGTGTGCGTTTGTATAAGGGAAAAAGGGTGAGCATAAGGGGGTTGGGGGTTTTGGTAACTCATATAACCGGTTAGACTCTGGTGCAGTTCACTCTAAATCATCCCGGATGGTAGTGGTGGCTCGTTCACCTTCTCCGGTTTAAGATAAGCTATATACGAGCTAAACCGGAAAACGGAAGTAATGGCTTACCAGATATTATCGACTAGTACTATCCCGGGTCTTCACGCAACACAGGAACACGAGGGACCAAAAGGGAAGAATTCTTGTCATAATTCTTGACATTTTCAACTGGAGACCATCGAGATTTTTTTATTCTGTTCATTGTTTCGTATACCGATGATATATAATCGTTATATCTTTATTAATCAATCAGGATTTTAGGATTTTATATACTTCAATGATTTTTGGTTTTTACACAATTTTTGGAGAGTCGAGGTGAAATTTATTTGTGAAAATTGAACTGCGGAATTGATTCGAAAGGGTGGAATTGGCATTTAATTTCCTCTAGGTTCAGAATATTCTGAATTTCAAGGCCACAATGAGGATTTCTATTTTATGCAATGAAACTCCGGCTCCTCCATCCAATCACAAGTAACTGCTCCGTATACCCAGATAAATTTTCCATTCCTCCAATATGTTCCAGCAGAGTCCATAAACCCCGGGAAATGATTCTGGCTTGAGTGGCCAGTGGTATTTAATATGAGATATCGTTACTCGTGATAAATGTAGTGTAAAATGGAATTTCAGAATGGAGTCAAAGTTGACCAATTAATCCTCCCCGGGGCGAGTGGAATTTTGCTCATTTGTAGGAATGGTTAGACGGACTAATCACCACCGTGCACGATGAAATGGACAAGTTTTATCCACGAAAATTTGAATAAAAAGCCCATTTTCCCCGGGTGATTGATTGTCAAACATCCGCCGACGGAAAAAATTGATACAACAGATGAGCGCACAACAAGAACCACCCCAGTGCATGGAAAAACTTGAAAATTGTTCCTGTCTTTAATTATCCACCAGCGAATATTCACGACTATTGTTACACCGGAATAATGAAAACGTTGATAACAAGTCGTGCCTCAGCATCAGGCAGCTGTATTTTACGGTTTAATTAATTAGAGATGTCTGAGGAAAATCTTCAGTCAATGACTGTTGTTTCCGAGTCTCCTTTCACATTCTCTCACTATTTATTGTTCGTTTTCATTTACAAATAATAGAGATTCGCAATTGATTAAATCGTGAAC